AATGTGTATTATTAATCAATCAATCAATCAATCAATCAATCAATCAATCTGAATTAATCATCTAAACACTATTTGCTAAACCTTCAAGCATATAAAGCTAGGTTAGACTTTGGTCACAGTGCAGGTGCTGCTTTATTGAAGGCCACCTACTTGTGCACCTTTCTCTCCAGATGGACCCTCCTTGCCAGGATGTCCCTGTAAAACAAAACAGCTCATCTCCATGTGCAGTGGTGGTGAAAACAAATGTTATTTAGCTCCGGTCACCTGACTTTGTGCTGAAGAAACATTTTATGACTAAAATAGATCAGCAGCCAACCCTGAGGTTAGTGTTTCAAATCCAAAATACATATGTGAATTGTTCAGTTTTATCGAAAGGCTTTATATCTAATTGAACAACTGAGGTCTGAAAAATATTCAACTGTTCTGTTGTTTACGCCTAGAAAACCCAGTTCTGTTAGTTCAGCATTACCACATAGATCAACAAAATACATGATGAAAAGTCTAAAACATTATAAACCTGTAGCTGTGAACACCTGGCAGGTTGATGCAGAGAGCTGTAAATCAGAAGCTCTAAGACCTGAGGGCAGCTCTGAGAGCGCCTGTCTCTTTGAATAGCACAACCCTGAGATGACATGAGCAAACTGCCGTTTATCAGAGCAGATCTCAAGTATTTCAGTAGGACTACGATAGCTGAAGTCCAGGTGTTGGAGTGGCCGGCCTGGAGTCCAGAACATCTCATGGTGAAGCCAATTAACATTAAAAACTAAAAAATATAACATGAGAAACCCTAAAATAATAATGAAATAAAAGGATGAGCAATGAAAAATGGATATTTACTGCATTTAGTATTGATCATTAATGCACCTATTTTTACCTACTCCTCAAATAGATTTTAAACTCTGTGAACAGGAAGGGATTTGTCCATGTGTTAAAAAAAACAAAAACATCTGAGAATCAGCAACACTCATACACACGGTCTGAGTGGATGTTACTGGTGATTTAGGTGTTTGTGATGTAGCGTAAGAGGCGAGAAGTGCACTCACAGGAGGTCCATCAGCTCCAGGTAGTCCAGCTAGTCCAGACCTGCCCTGAGGTCCCTGTGATGACAGAAGGAGACGTGTTTCACACTTCTTTTCAGATTTGTCTCATTTGAAAATTAAGTCAAAAGATCCATCATTGCGCTGACCGCAGACAGGATGGTGATTTGTGTTTGTCACATAAATATGTATTTAATCTAGCAGCTGCAACATTATTTAGACATTATTTCTGAAATATTAATATAACAATCATTAATATTATTAAATCATATGTTGAATGTCATCTTCAATATTTTTGTCTCAATACAAATATTTACATGACAAGTATTTTGAAATACTGTAGAAACATACTTTTTCTCCAGGAGGTCCAATCGGACCTTGAGGACCAGGAAGACCCTTCAAAACAAAAACACATACAGAGGAAAATGAGCATCTGTAACCATGGCAACTGCAAACTCTCTCAAGTATACAATCTGAACAAACTGAAGACCTTGTTGGAGCTGTAAATAGTCGAGCTGATAGAGGACTAAGCTAAATGTGTGTGTGTGTGTGTGTGTGTGTGTGTGTGTGTGTGTGTGTGTGTGTGTGTGTGTGTGTGTGTGTGTGTGTGTGTGTGTGTGCGTCTGTGTGTGTGTGTGTGTGTGTGTGTGCGTGTGCATGTGTGTGTGCTTAGTTTGTGTACCACTTAAATATTTGTGGGTGTGTTTGCCTGCATCTCTGAGAGGTGAAGTTAGAAGCATTGCCTGCTGCTCTAACCGGTGTGACATCCTTACAGAAAATCTAGCAGCAGGAATAAAACATCGTTCAACCTCCGAAAAAAAACCCGGAGTCAGAATAAACACAACACATATGTAAAAGTGTGTTTGTGTGAATTTTTGTTGTCTCCAGAGGATGTAAGCAGCAACCGAAAATGTGTGAAAAGGCAAAGATGAAAAGCAAATTGAAACCACAAAATCAGATCTGAATTCAAATTTGGGATCGTCAAATAAAAGTAACTCTCTGGTAGGTTCATTTGTTCGCCCATACAGCAACCAAAAATCACCTATCATAAAAAAGCAGTGTCTGTATAAAGTAAAATATTACTTTTATAACCTATTACCCCAGGTATTCTCCAAACGTCAACATAAAATGCTCTGATCAGCTATAAATGAGTAAATAGCTGATTGAATACCTCCAACATTTCTAAATAAACTCTGTTGCAGTTGGACGACGTGATGAGCATACTGAGGTTGCATGCATCTATAATGGATTTGCTCACCTGTGTTCCTGGGATTCCCTGCTGACCAGGTGGACCTGGCTCTCCTTGAGGCCCCTTAAAGAAAGATCATCAGAGTCAAAAATAAATCTTAAAGCATAAACTCATTGTGCACATTTCTGTGTAATTTCACATCAAACTGAAGTATCTAATAATTTTAAGTGGCCTAAGTCTATGAATACTGGAAATACTTTTTAGGCATAATTTTATTTTTCTCATTGTTTTATTGGGGGCTTGTCTGGGATATAAACCTCTGATGGAAATAAAACCCCTCTCCAATACCCTCTACTCTGTCTTTCACTTGCTCCAATGCATCGGCATGACCTTTAACCTCACAACTGTGCTTCCTGGAGGCATTTTGAAAGTCAGAACACTGACACCAAGAAAGCAAGCTCAATAAGAACATCTGCACAGGTAAGTCAGGAAGTCTGTACCATGTTTCCTTTGGGACCATGAGGCCCGTCGACTCCAGCAACACCCTGAAGAGGACAGATCAGCAAAAATTCAGGATTTACTAAACCAATAGGAAGTGATGTCAGAAGTGTTCAAATGAATGGTACGCACAGGTGATCCAGGAGGTCCTGGAGGACCACGAGGTCCCAGCAATCCCCTGGGACCCTACAAAGGGAAAAAAAAGATTAGTGTTAAACTGAAATACACAAATAATGCTTTCAGACCATACTATACGTGCGCCGGTTAGGCCTTACACTCTCTCCAGCCAGGCCTCTGGGTCCGATCTCTCCATCTTCACCCTGAGGACAGAAACATGCTGAACTGAGCGGCTTTAGGATGCAGATGTTATGATTTGATTTGAACAAGCAAAGTAAACAATCATAACTTTATTAATGTTTTACATTAGTGACGGTCTAGAATCAGCAGTCTGAAGGTGAAGGGTAGGTGAGGGTGGGGGAGTGAGGGGGTGAGGGAGGGAGGGCTGAACTCTTCTCCTCCCCTTCAGTTCATTTTTTCCTCCCCTGGCCTGAGGCCTGAGCTGGATGAGCTCAGCTGATTTAAACAGGACTGTCAGCGGGTCACCAGTGAAGTAGCAGCTAAAGAGGGAGAACTCACTCTCTGACCGTCCTCTCCAGGAGCTCCAGTTGGTCCGATGGGCCCCGGCTCCCCCTGAGAAAAACATACTCAGTTTTAGTCGTTAATGGAGCAAATCACAGATTTTTCTGACTATCCGTTTGGTGTGCTTAAAAAGTATTTTGAACATTTTTTATATTGAAATCATTGAGTTTTAATTTGAAAAGACCAGCTTGTTTGTGTTGTTTTTCATTTTATTTTGGTATCAACTTAAGTTGAGATCTGATTGGTTAATTACTCAGATTCTGAATGGTCACTAACTGCTTCTTTATCCTTATTACTTCTTGTAAACGTTCATTGTTGCAAATGTAGTTCACCTATAATACAAAAAGCATTCAAACTTGTGTTTTAACTGATTCAGTTAGCATGCTAAAACTCAAATCAATAATAAAAACAAACCTAAGACAATCATATAATTTCATTTTACATGTTTTTTAAAGTAAAACCAGTCAAAAAGTTCAACTTCTTATCCAACAAAAGTGAAAATCCAAACTTTATCAGAGTCCCCCCCCAAAAATATAAAATCCACCTTTGTAACACTTCACATTTTAAAATATTCTAAACGTATCAAACAAGATGGCATTCCTCACCCTGTGTCCCTTTTCACCAGGCAGCCCAGGAAGTCCATCAAAGCCTCGGTCACCCTGGTAACCGTCACAGGAGACGACATCATCAGAACCACGGTGCTAAAGAATGAAATAACTTCCAAAAACTACGTGTTGATACCTTGGCGCCTGACTCTCCGGGCATCCCGCGAGCTCCATCAGCACCGGCACGGCCCTAAAGATCAAAATATCACAGAGGATTTAAAACAGATTAAATCAATTATGATTTATTTTTAACAACAGAGTTATAATTTATGTGAATTTATGTTCAGTGAATCTGGGTTAGCAGCAGCTGTATTATAATAAAACCTTAAATAAGTCGTTTACATCCGACATCCAAGTGTGAAAGTCTCTATTCCTGCATTAGGATTTTGTTAATAACCGCCTGTTTAATCAGTTTTGTAATCCTAATTTGTCCATAGCTGTTTTCTGTCTGATGGTGTCAGAATGGGTCCGGGTGTTTTTGGTCTCGCAGCATCGTGACAAACCACATTCAGAGCCAGTTTTTCCCATTTTGGCATTTTCAGACGGATTACTGTCCTGGTCATTGATCCCAGGATTAGAGGCAGGCAGCACGGGCCATTACTGATCACGCAAATTGTTTCTGGAGTGAGAATAATCCTCTCAGCATCTGAGGAGCGGCCACGAATACAAACACACACACGCACTGAAGGTGAGGGAGTTCACTCACCCGTTTGCCAGCCTTGCCCGGTTGTCCTGGAGGCCCCTGGATGCCGCGGGGCCCCTGCACAGACACACCAGCAACACTTAGAGCCACACAGAACTTAACCTAACCTGGGGAAGACGCATCATCACTCCTCACTCACCTGAGGACCAGGGTCTCCACTCTCCCCTTTCAGCCCACTTGGACCAGGCAGACCCTAAAGACACAAACCAAACGTAGCCTATGTGGAGATTTGTGCTGCTGGAACACTCAGGTAGTGAAAAAGTGAAGACAAATCATTTCAGTGAAACAGCAGAGGGCAACATTTAACCAGAGAACATGTTCTGCAAGGATCTGCTGACATGGAAACGCAGAGCATCTGAAGAAGATGCTTTACTGGCTCTGAGCCAGTAGGGTGGTTTCGGACACCATGGACTAACTGAATCTTACACACATATTTATTTGTTTATTTATTTGCTTATTTATTTGTCTAAGAACCTATCAGACCAGTTTGGTTATAAATCTGAGCCTAACCCCCAGAACTTTATCATTGCAACCACAAATCACTCCACCTCTCTAATTTCCCTTCCCTGGGACAAATAAAGCTTTTCATTCATTTTCATTTTCATTTCATTCACTTAGAGCACATTTAACAGATTTACTGATGTTTGTGTTTTTCTTTCTTTTGTGGGACCATCATAAATATAGAAATGAAGACTGTGGGGTAATGTTTAAGCCTCCTAAAAATATCAATACAATAAGCAGACCTTAAAGCTGCACTCAAACAGTGAAGTGAAATAATAACATGTTGTAAAATGTGCACTTATAACCACTTCTAAGAAGGGTTAGGGTTATAACATGTCTGATCCAAACTGACATTAAGGAATTTGTTTTAAAACAAAACCATCCCGCAAACCAAATGGTAACATCTTTTAAACCACGACTCACCACAGGCCCGGATCTTCCAGTCAGACCCATTGGTCCAGGGGGTCCCCTCATAGCCAGCTGCAGGCCAGAAACAGAGACAAACCCAAAAGCAGATTTCAATCAGAGATCATGCTGCTGTTTCTGGTTTTCATGCATCAGGTAACAGAAATGAAACACAAACTAAGAAATCACATTGCTTTCATGACCTACTGCGTTAAATATCCTGTTCATCACAAGTCTTTATTGGGAGCCAGGCTATGTAGACCTTGCTGATTTTTCTAAATCTGAAAGCTACAGTTTATTAAAAAAAAAAGTTAAATCAATTTATTAATTTAGAAATGATCCACATTCTGGGCCAATTACTGAAATGATTTCGTTATCTCTTGCTGCAGGAAACACCAACAAACATCCGTGAGTCAAAAGCTGCAGAATTGAAATGGTCTGGGAACCCTGCTTCTCATCTAACACGTGTATTTTCTACACCTGTTGCTGTTCAGGGTGTTTTTACTGCTCTCTCCTGTCTATCTGCCTAAAAGTGGCTTTTTATTTTTATTTTGTTGCTCCTCAGCAAACCTCAGTAGGTCTCCTTTTAACCTTACTTTTGACCAAAGTCCACCCCCCACCCCCCACCCCCAGCTGTGTGCAAATAAGTTGTCCACAAGCTGTTACCGTCCCAGTGTCCTCTCCACTTACTCTGGCCTGGGAGAGAATAGCCTGAGCCTGGGCCTCCTGAGCCGACACCACAGGACCCTTCTCACCGTCTCCTCCAAAACGGAACTATTCAACACACACACACACCAGCAACACTTATGTTTATCATCTTTGTTATGATCACTCAGTGATCTGACAGAGAACTCACCGGCAGCATCAACATGGTACCAGGAGGTCCTGGTAAACCATCAGCACCAGGCAGACCCGCCCGACCAGGAGGACCCTGCAGGAATGCAACATCACCCAAAAAACAACTCAGCTGATGGATTTAACAAGATCAAATATGAAATGTGACAGCAGATAACTGTTAGGCAAAGACATGAACTTTGAGCCTAAGTTGTTGTTATTAAGGCGGTCGCTCAGAGATAAAAGAGATGAGAGAAGAGAGATAAAGGGTCACGAAGGAATTTTCCCGTTTGAGTTTTAATGCATAAAAAAGGAAATGTTCATAAAAACCATCCATCCATTATTTAGTTATTGATCTTGATGTTAGCGTTGCAGCATCTAAACAAAATGGACTAATGCGTTAAAAGTTTAAATCAACTTTATATTTTATGATTTATCATTAAATAAAGCTGCTCTTCTTAGAACAATCATAAACCAAATTTACCACACACACACACACACACACACACACACACACACACACACACACAAATAAATTATGTCTGGTTTAGGGTATTAATCATGAACTCACTCTGTCACCAGGATCTCCAGCAGGACCCGGGGGTCCCTGTAGGCCTGATGGTCCTGGGAGGCCCTGGAAGAGCAGGTCTAGGTTAACCGACCAGCTGGATTTTTTTCTAAAATTTTTTTCATTTTTCTACTCACAGCTGGGCCGGGTGACCCTGGTGGCCCTTCAATCAGCATGCCCTAAAAACCACAAACACTCGTATCACACCAAGCCTGACTTCTGCAAACTCAGGATGAGTCAGAAAACTGCACTTTGTGAGCAAATGTTTCCTAGCTCCAGATTTCATGTAACCACACTAAGTTAGTAAAACAAATTCATATTTTGCCGCTTACAGGTTCAATCACAGCCGGCTCGCCCTTCTCACCCTTCTGCCCAAAAGCTGCTTCAACAACCTGCTAGAAAGAGAATATGATGTAAGTTTTCACGCAGCATAGACAAAAAACAAAACAAACAAACCCCAAAAAAGAGGTATCTGGGAGAAAAATGGGTGTGAATGTTTGGAGGGTATTAATTAGCTAGTTGGTGATCTGAGAGTGAATCGTGGATGATACTGAGACAAACAGGCAAAATGTTAGTTCGGAGGACCAAAAACCCACATCTACTTCACAGACAGGAAATAATTAAATGTGAATATTAAACAATGAGATTTAGTGAAGTATTACTGAGACATGTGGAAATTATCAACTTTCATTTGTGCAGAAACATTTATTCTAAAAATAACTGTGTCTAAAGTACAGAAACCCTAAATGTTTTTCAAAAAGTTGAATTTTGTTCCAGATTTTGTATACGTTTGGTTTCTCATTCAAAGAGCATTGCAGTGTGTGTGTGTGTGTGTGTGTGTGTGTGTGTGTGTGTGTGTGTGTGTGTGTGTGTGTGTGTGTGTGTGTGTGTGTGTGTGTGTGTGTGCAGGCAGACTCCCATGATTTATTCTGAAGTCAGGGCAAAGAGGGAGATACATGTCACACGCTCCTCACTAAAACAGAGGAGGAGGAGGAGGAGGGATGGGATCTGACTGCTGAGAGACATGTGGGGGGGAGAGTATTTATGGGCGTGGTGAAGGCTGGACTAACATCCTCTGATTGAAGGTTGTGTGGGAGAGAACAGATGAAGTGTGACAGAATAAGTCTATACACCAGACACGAGTTTCCTCAGTGAGGAAACATCATTTTTATCCCAACATCTTCTGCATGCATCGTCCCTCATCAAACAACAATAACATTCCTCATGCAGTCATGCACACACCCCTGCTTCACCAGGTCAGGGTGTGGTACTTACATTACTCTCAGAAACATCAGTTTCCGCGGCAACCCCTGGCCCCACCTCCTCCTCATAGGCTGCGGGGGGTTTGGATGGGGCCACTCCGAACTCATCATAGGACCCATAGTCATACAGCTTGTTGTCTGTCTCACTCAAGTCAAACTCATTTAGATCATACTCCTTAAAGTCATACACCTCTCCACCAGCGTCCACGTTGCCCACCGATTCGGGGACGTTTTTGGGCTCAGGAGCAACGGGAGGGGCCTCGGTGACAAACGCACCAACAAATTCCTCCTCCACAGCCTTGCAGGTGTTACACGAACAAAGGGGGAGAAAGAAGGAATGAGCAACGGAGGGAACAGTTAGCTAAGCAAACAGAAGCTACACTTAAAGGCTACAGAAGCAAAAAGCAATGTTTGCAGAAAAAAAGTATAGTGACAAAATAACACCTTATTTAAAACACTGTAAATCATTCTGAGGTCAAAATAACGAATAAAGTGTTATCGTTGTCACTAACAGCATTCTACTGTAACTCAAAGGGAAAAAGGTCATCCTAATTAGCATACATATTAAATTAATAACATTGTGGCAGCCGTGCATCAAGACAAAGATCAGATTTAATCAATCATCAAATCATTTTGATTCAAATGTTTTGTGTCTTTCCGTTTATCCTGATGCACTCAATTTGGAGCCAGAACAACAAACACCTGGCACAACCTTTTCCATACTTCTGCGAGGCAATCAACATGGATTTAGACTTTAGAGCAAGACAAAATAGATGTAATTACACTTTGTTAATGACAGCAATAAATCCTGCCAAATTATTCTTTTAAATCAGACTGTAATCACATCTAATTTGTCAGATAATGCAGCAGGCCAAGCATGATCCTAGCAGGCTGATCATAGTTCTGTTGGAGGGAAATAACAGAACTAGTCACCAAAAACAATCTTGTGTTGTGATGGACAGCAGGACATGTTTTACAGATTATCTGTGTCATTATGAGCATTGCTGGTTTCTTTTAGACCTGACTGAGGTCAAATCACCATTTTTATGTGAGCTAGAACTCTAACAAGCTACTGCAAGTAAACAGATCTTTGGAATTGATCAGCTTGTCTCTTATCGAAGCAGTTCTTTTTTATATAGCAGTATTTTCTATTCTAACATGATCTAAAACATGGTAAATGGGATTGTTCTGCCATGTTATAGTGTTCCTCACCAGAAAACACGATTCATTACTTTCTGACCCAATTCACTTTTCCTGAACGGCTTCTGTTTAGAGAAAGAGCAGGAGCTAAAGGCCAGTCTAAGCACAGTCAATGACATAATATACAACACTTTTGAGTTTCACAATACATAGTTATTTACATGGTAGTCTGTGGTTTAAGAAGACAAATTATGACTTTATATTAGTTCTATGGTTAATACCAAACATGTTTACGAAGCTCTTTGCACTAATTCCCTCTCTCGAGGCGATTTCAACAATTATATTCGTGACATTTTAGTATCTTCCAAAATGAGCCGTTTCAGGGCACATTGAGAAAACAAGCTGGAACTGACCACGCCCACTCATAACCTGCTATGTGGCGATGAGCTTACAGATGTGGGAGAGGTTTGGAGTAACGTTGTTGCTCCTCTAGCTCTTGTGCGTGAGAGGAGGTTCAAATCTACTTTTTCTGTTTGCGACATCACAAACAAGTACTTTTGAAAACAGCTTGTTTTAAGCAGAAATTAACTAAACAGATTAACATTTTATTAATTTTTTTTTTGCATTTTAAGTGTTTATAGCACAAACATTGGGTTTTCATAATATGTCCCCTTTAGTAGAAATCTGTCAGCAGCAAAATGAGATATTTCTGGTGTGCTCTACGGTCAAGTCCAGAGGTAATGCAAACTTGACGGCCATGTGTAAAAAATTGTGTTGCATGAAACACTGACATTTTCAAGAGTGGCATTCCTTCTGTCCTCTAGGACATAGACTCTAATGCCTAGGACCAGAGGAAGGAACCTACAACAGGTAAATAAATAACTGTTGATAACTTTTACATATAAACACGCTTCAAAACATGCTTTGACTTCTGATGCATGTGCTGATGGGTTGAGAACCAAACTAATGCATGTTTCAGTAGAGGACTATTATCTAGTGTTTGTAAAACTGTCTTGTGTCCATCACTTTGGCCACAAACCAGAATTGAAAACAATAAAAGACACGTTCATACCATCTCATACCAAGAAGTTTCTTCAGGCTCCAAAAACATCAAACAGAAGCTTTTAAAAGTAAACAAGAAGGAAAGAGAAGATTACCTCACTGGGTCCACTCGGGTCAACGGGGGACTGAGTCTGAGTAGCATCTACAGTCCCGTAGTCTGTATTGTAATCTCCCTCTACATTGTTTAGCTGAGTCATGTTGGAGAGAAGGAAAGAAGAATGTGAGTTAATAAAGACTCACAGCAGAGGGTGTTAAAGGAGGTCTTCTCAAGGCTATACACTCAGCTACTTCTACAGGTTAGGGACGCGCTACGTCGGTCATCACAGATTTTCTCTTCATCATTTAGAGCTGGAAAATCTTGATGGGATTCAGTGACTTCTCTTTGGACTGATGTTTACCCTAAAACTGTGTTGTTCGGGCGCTGTGGCCTGGTAGCCAGACATCTGCCGCTTCTTCTGGGCAAACCTTTTAGCTGGCGACTTTCTGGCAGGAATCAACTTTAAAAACCTGGGTCTAGACCTTTTGAAGGACTTTCTGGTCATCTTCTTTTTCACGGCGACACTACGTTTCTTTCTCTGGAAGAGGTGGTGGTGACAAAAGAACACCAAGACAGAAATGATTTGAAAGCTCTCATCACAGTGATTTCCAACTCAGCTGTCAGACCTAAGGTGCTTCTCTAGCAGCCCAGAGCTGATGGGACACATCGCTCGTGGACATCATCTACCAGGGCTGCCGCTGCAACACGGATCATAACGGGACATCTGAACAATTGTGGTCTGTGTTTTTCGTGATGCTAAAGGTTTTGAGGACATATAAAACAGCACAAAAAAAAAAACAATGTTTCCTACTAGCAGCTCTTTACGACTATTGCAATAACCAGATTGGCGTGAAGGTAAAGTTTGAAACAAAACTTGAAACACGTTTAGAAAAGACGGCATTACCAAAGATGGCGGCAGACTGACAAAACAGACACAAGACAAAGAGACATATCGAGTGTTTACATAGTGTACACAAAAGGCTCTGACAGCTATAGTTTAACCAACAGAGACTTGACTGTCCAATTAGCTATTAATGAACTATTACTGAAAAGCTGTAACATGACCTTAGGAAACTGAATGTGCATGCACACTAAACACTGAGATAACACACAAATCAGACAGAGAAACGACACAAAACATCTTTATTTTCCCTAATTTTTTCATTTACCTGTGGTTCAGATAACCCATCGATGGGGGCGACGTCTGTTGGCCCCTCAGAGTAATCATAGAACTGAGAGTAATCTAAATCATCAATATTGTACTGTAGGGGTCGGGAAAGAGAGAGACAGAGGGGGGGAGGGGGTTAAGTATGCACGAAAAGCAACAACAATGCAGAACATGATTTCTGCTAAGCTGAGAGTCGGTGTGTTATCTTCACCAAGATGCATCTTCAAAATGTTCCAATTCTATTTACATGTCCTGTACTAGAACATCAAACATTTAAAAGATAAAGATGCATTAAACAAAAGCTGGAACCTGCTGTTTGAGATTTTACCCACAAGCAGCTGGGCTGTTTAAAAGGCTCATAAAAAGCAGAGATACCAGAAACTAAATTACTGGCTGCAGTAACGAGATAGCGTCATGGAAAATTCTCAGGGAAAACATGGAAGCAGCTGGAAGATGGAGATTAACTTTAGACAAGATTGCCACCTTCCTCTGGATCAGGACACAAATGTAAAGAAGAAGGTAAGGATTTACTGAAGCAATGTTTTGAGGAAAGGTTTACTATCTTAAAAGTTGTAGAAAGTTCCTAGAACAACTTGAGTTTGGAGGTGCAGAGGTTAGTGTTCACCTGACTGATGAGCTAACAGCTAGTTAAAACAGAACTTAGAACAAAGTGGATTACAGACATCCAAGAACATATGTATTCTCAAAACTAGCAAACAAATGTACGTCTTATCATCAGCATAGCTTTATACGGGTATTTATGTAGGATTATGTGATTATTTGCAAATAGCAATAATTAGCTGTAGCACTTCTAGCGCTGCCTGAGACTTACCTTGCTAGAGCTTCATGATATGTCTGACTCGTTTAACACAGATCTGATGGTTATTTAAAGGTTTATAAATTATCATTTACATAAATGATCACAGTAATTTTGAGACTGAAGCTGTTTTAGAATGACAGCAAACCTCTTTGGTCTTGGACACTCTTAAACTAGCTGTTAGCTTGTCAATCAAATGAGGATTAAACTCATTTCTTTATAACTAAGATTGTTTTACTGATTTAATGTATTACTTAAGTACAAGATATTGATTATTTACATCTTTTCTGCAGAACCCACATTTAAACATATGAACTATAAAATTAAACTATTTATCAGTTTAACAAGTTCATAAATTCGTCTTAAACTGATTCGTGTCAGAAAGTATGTACTCTGGCTGAATGCAACTTGCAACATTCAACTCAACTCTTGTTAAATTAAAGAGATATTGTGTAGGTTTTACCATTAATTTCTGGAAAGATCAATCAAAAGGTTGTTGAAAATGAATAAAATGATGCCCAGTTGTTGAAAAATATTGGCAGCTTCATAACATATAACCATAAAAATCAGGTCTAAAATACATGGGGGCGGGTCTAAGTCTCTGGGCGACGTCATATTAGAAGCCATGTTTCCTTCTACGGGAGCCCATGAGGACAAAATGCATGTACTGATTTGTAACTAACGGTTACAAAACTTTCATCATTCTTAAATGTTGTTGTTTTACACATTTACTACTTCACTTACTCCCAGTGATGAGAGGGAGTCTGATGTGCTTGTTATTTTGCTAATGTTTGCACCCCCCAGGGCTTTTTGACCCTCATGGGCATCTGTTGGTAAGGTCTTACTCCACCACAAAAATACTGATTGCTTGCATTGATTGAGGTATCTACTGCCCCCTATCGCCAGGAAAAATACACACTGTCACTTTAAGCGTTATGTTAAATATGCAGATGCTGAGTTTAATCCTAATTCCAATCTTTGTGAATAAAAGCTTTGTGTTAGTAAGCTGCTGAAATATATCTGCACAGTAAAGGCATCCAAAAGCACAGAAAGAGGTTGGGGGTACAGCGGGTTAATTACTGTTGATTTGAACAAAAATTCAAAATCAGCATCTTACAATATGATGAATGCTGAGCAGCTCCTGTGGCTGGCTTTAGCATGGGATGCACTTATTTCTATGTATTTAATAATTGTTCTATTTTATTGCTCTTTAACTGACATTTAAAAGGAATTTTAAAAAGAAAACCATATTTTATATAGCGCCTCTCAAGATAAAAATCACGAGGCGCAAATTTCAAGACTGACAAGGGTAGAAAAAACCTGTGCTGACTTGAAACTATAAAAACATTAAAATTTATACTGTACAAGCAGTTGAATTGTCCAGTAATCACCTAATTTAAATCAGACCTTTTGAAGTGAGTTCAGTGGTTATGAACAACAACTCTCCTAAATGTGATCGCTGAGTAACCTTAGCACATAGAAACAGATGTTATTTCTGACTAGACGGACACGGTAACGGCTGGTCAGAGCAGGACTGGTTACAGACTAGATTACTACTAGCATAAAATAATGTTCACAGAAATCATTGAAAATTATATTTTATACATAACAATGGTCAAATTATAATGAGATGGTCACATTTATATGAATTTGAACAAATGCATGTAGCAGCTAGCTGCAAAGCTTCTAGTAGCAACATTAAAAAATACATGTTAAAGAAGTGGCATTAACCTGAACTGTTAATAAAATAAATAGTTGTTTAAGTGCACCAGTAATCTACTTTAGCGTGCGTTCAAGACTAGCCGTTAGCTGATCAATCTTATAAAAAAATCTTGATTTTTTTTTTCCCAACCAGGTCAGGAAATTTCAAAAGATCTGAGCCTTCAGCTTTAGTTAGAATTTTTTATCAATGTTTTTGTAATTTGAATATATGGAATAACTCAATAAATGATGTGGTACCACTAATGTTTATACGCTCCCATCAATGTTAATGTAAATCATGTTCAAAGTAAAAGTTATTGAGAAGCCTTGACGTGTGCTTGGTGTCACCTCCCCCACCCGCCCTTGACGCCTGACCTCTGATGGCTCCTGGGCCTGCAGGGAGTCCCTGTGGGCGGTGTCACAGTCCGGGCTGTAGTGTTCACAGTAGTCGTACGCTGCTTTGGGATCAGCAACAATCAGGAGCTGCTGGATGTCACCCTGCCGAAAACAGAACAGTTACTGACGAGCTGATGAAACCAGATTATTATCAGCTAACAGGAGGACGTGTTTCATCTTGTTCACTCACACAGACAGCAAAGAAGCAGAAATAAAAATCTTTAATCACGGATGTGATCTCTTAGGTTTTATGGAGTCTGGCAGACTTTAACACGCTTGTATAATAAACCACTTGGCTCCCGTATCCACACGTACATGATGCAGGGAGGAAAATAACCTGATGCTCTAGGGGGATTATTGTTATCAGTACTGGCTTCACTTCAAGTAATCAGGTGAAGACCTATCACCAAGATTAAAGCAACACCTGGTCCATGAGAGAGGCAAAGTGCTACCATATTTGCCATACACCCACCCAATCACAGTGTTTACTGATCAAGGATGACGGCGACAACTCTGTATAGTTTTGTTCTCATTTATAACTTTAGATGCATTTTTCCACATTTGTTGCTGCATAATTTCAGTTAATTGTGTCACTGAAAATAATTAAATCGAACGGATCTGGAAAAAATGAATTTAAAAAAATGGATTGCAAAAAGAAATTGAACCGTTTGAAAAGTATGCCAAGTCGATTAAACGTTTGATCAACACAACTGTTTTGCAACTCTTCCAAAAAAATTAAAATAAACATCTTCATTTAAATGCATCAACTGTCCCGGTTTTTAGCTCAAATCTGTCATGTAGGTTAAATGTAGGCTACGATTCATTAAAACAACTGGGATGAGCAAATCCAACAGTTTTATCTTAAAATAACTCAATCTGAAGCCTTTCCAGAGCTTTTCCTACAAATCCTTCAGCAAAAGCTCGTGGCTCGCTGCAGGACAGTTAGCATAGCACTGGAACATGCTAAGACCTTTTAGGAGTTTCTTATTGACTGAACTGAGTTACTATAAAGCTTCATACACTCTTTACTGAGAGCTGACAAGCGTGTATGAAGGTGATGTGAGGGACATAAACAGGTAAGGAAGGAGCTGACCAGACCTAAATGCATCTGAGTCAGCAGGGAATACATTTGGTCAGAAGGATCTGAACAAAATCCAGGAACAATCAAGCAGGCTGCAACTTGTCAAGAGAATGTGTGTGTGTGCGTGCATGCATGCATGCGTGCATGTGTGTGTGTGTGTGTGTGTGTGTGTGTGTGTGTGTGTGTGTGTGTGTGTGTGTGTGTGTGTGTGTGTGTGTGTGTGTGTGTGTGTGTGTGTGTGTGTGTGTGTGTGTGGTGTTTGTATCTCATTCAAGTCTAAGGAGCAAATCTATGGATCCTTAATATGTACCTTAGAGTAAACAACGCTGTGCCGAGGCATGTTCCAGGAGAAACTGAGCGCTGCTCTCTCTGTGTACCTATCCATCATCATCCTGGTTCACTGCTCAAGTCTGGCAGCTCAGAGAATTCTCTCGGAATGTGTCTGAGAGGAAGAACCACAGTTTCGACTTTCTCTTACAGTCTGAGTACATTTCCAATATCTAGTATCAGCCACAGCAATGGGCCTAGTTTACATGATCTCCGTTTAAAGGGATTTATAACCGTCTTTCATGTGTAAAAATGATAAATCATTGCTAAAATGCATGCCATCGCTTTCTGACCAGCCTCTAAGCTCAGCCAAGTCCAAAGACTTTAAATAAAATTCTATGTAAAATGATCTGAAACACATGGTTGTGAAGATTAAAAATAGTGCTTACTTGAACAACACTGGCCTTTTAAAATTAAGCGGTTTAAAGGAGGCAGCGATATCCTTTGGTCTTGTCTGACTAGCTGTTAGCTTATCAGTCCTGAAGAATTCAAACTTTATTCTCCCAAACCAAGAACATTAATCAGCCATCTACTTAAAACATCATATTTAAAGCTATAGATGTAGAACTAGTGGGTAAATCTGAACTCAGGTGTGTGTGTGTGTGTGTGTGTGTGTGTGTGTGTGTGTGTGTGTGTGTGTGTGTGTCTGTGTGTGTGTGTGTGTGTGTGTGTGTGTGTGTGTGCGCGTGCGTGCATGTGTGTGTGTGTGTGCGTGTGTGTGTGTGTGTGTGTGTGTGTCTGTGATCATTAAGAAGCCTGAAAGAGATCAAACTGTTTCCTGAACCACTCTGACATGCATTACCTCATGTGTCACCACAAGAGCAACAGTGGATGCTAGAACCCAGCCTTGAGTCAGCTCTAATTAGAACGTGTCTAAGAGCCGCTCATCTGCACACAAGCGAGAGTTTAACCTGGATCCTGATGAAACAGCCTCAATGGTGACATTTCCTGTAGCTAGCATTAAAGTTTCAAGATTTATTTACAATTAACACAGAATGTGGTGACTGATGCTCTAAACATGAAGAAACAGCAGAAAATGTGCTCCAGTGGTCTTTCTAACATCTATAAAGGGGGGAAAACATGTCCTAAGATCCTTATGGACAACATGAATAGAATAGAATAGAATAGAATAGAATAGAATAGAATAGACTTTTTTATCCCACAGTGGGGAAATTCACTCGCTACAGCAGCACATACACTTAGAGAAAAGGAAGAAGGAAATAATATTACAAGTAAACTCGCAAAGGCAGTAAGCTATTGTTGTAACGTGTATTGTAACATCTAAAAATAACAAACAAAAAGTAAACTTGTGTTTCCAGAACTATGTAGCATAAAGGACGCACACATACTAATGTGCATCCGGTATTGCACAAGTATTGAACAAATACTGACTATTGCAGTGGTGTTATTGGGTACCAGTATAATGCCAGCACCAGTTAAACTAAGGAGTTTTACACTCTTACTGCAGAGGGGATGAATGACCTACCCAGCAGCCCATCAGGGGTGAGCCCACCCTGACACCATGTAAAATAAGATGTTAATGGTATTACTCGTGGCTCAGACATCAAATCTCATTCGTTATTACAAGCAGAGGTTACAAGTGTTCATTAAAATGGGAAAAAAAACTCACTTTGATTAGATGACCCTAAATAATACTTTTATTTTTCTGACAGCATCAGTTCCTTCTTTTGAAACCTTTTCACAATAAAAGCCTCGGTCAAACCTACTGTATTCTTAACTTTTTTTTGTATTTTCTTCAAAAATTCATCATGTCTGAAGTTAAATTAAAATGACTCATAGAAACAAAAAAGCCCAACATTTCAAATGCTGGGTGAGTCACGTTTTTGTCTTGCAGACTACCACCAGCCTGTCACTTGTTTGTCCTCTAAACCACCTAATAGCCACAGCTGCAGCCCACCACTCCCCAAAGCGATGGGTTTCACCAGTGTGTGATGAATAATTTGACTTTGACTTTTGCTAACCAGGCGCTAAACCTCATGTTCCACCAAACACTGATGGACTGAACATGTCACTGTTGCATTATGAATCATAGTACTGTAATCAATAATAAGTAACTAACAATACATCTAGACCGCTAAAGAACCCAGTGATGCTGCAGACTCTTATTTAGAGAAAAATATGTTTGCACATAACTTACATTAATATATGATAAACTAATTATAAGGTGACCCATCTGACATCAATCACACCTTTCACCTTTTCACAGAATAACATGTAACAGGATTATCACTGATGAATGGATGCATTAAAAATATATTTCACATTTTATTTTGATACAAGCCCCTGCATCAGTCAGATTACCATTACTAACCTTGTTAAATTAGTTTACATATTTTGTGGTTTAACTGGAATTCGTGCACACACGTCTTCCTTCAGTGAATCACAAGGATCAAATCTAAAGGATTTTATAATGCAGCTGTCATGATAAGAGAGGTTCACTTGTACCATATTTATATCATAATGGAAACATTTAAATAAAATCAAGCCTCTGACATCTCAAAGAGGATCTGCAGTTTAGTGCAGTTTAGCCTTGCTGACTTCAAAGTCAAAGGTCATTGAGGGAAGCAACGTAACTACACTGATTTATTATGCTTCTGGTAAAGTCAGGTGATTTTATTTGTATCATTATTGTATAATATGTAGAACTGGAGCTTTTGTGTGTCTCAGAAAAATTATTTCAAATTTACTTTTACATAAATTGATGTTTGTCTTTGAGATAAAGGAGTTGGTTAATGATCAGCAATGAAATTCAGTCAAGGTCAGACATGACTTGCTCCTTATAAAAAGCCACTACAGGATGGGAGGAAGTGAAAGGTCACTGCAGCGAGAAGGAAAGTACAGCGTGGAGCAAAGCTCATGTTTCAAATCATCTTAACTAAAATACTTCTGCATGCTGCAATTATCCTGAGAAGAGGGCATCAAAACCACAATCGGACATAACCCAGAGCCAAGAGCAACAGACCTCTGGTGCAACCGCACTCACCTATAATTAGACAGAATGTACAACAACTACAGCAGCAGCAGCAAAGAAGAGAACAACTCGTGGATAAATCCTGGTTTCGGCTGCTCCGAAATGCTTGGATATCCTGCACAGCATGTCATTACGGTCCTGTTCCGTTAGCGAATAAATCAGGATCGGACATGTGTGTGTCTCCATAACTGAGAGATCAAGATCATAAAAATAAATTACGATACAGAAACAAACACATTTTGAAAAATTGCTTCAGAAGTAAGTCACATAATTGACTCACATGCTCAGTTGTGTCTTCATCGTCTGTTAATTATCAAGCAAGACAAAGAAGATGCAACAAAGGCAGATTGAACAGAAACGACCCCATTTTGGTTTTGAGATCTAAAACTTGTTTCCAGTTTATCAACAGCTCTGATATATCAGATGTATATTTGATTAAATTAGTTTATGAGTCTTGCTACATGAATAAGGAATTATTTTAAGGATAAAACGGATCAATCAACTTCTAATTGACAGTCAAAGTTTGTATAAAAACATGTATAATCATCCATTTAGTGCTGATTTCCCATTACAGCACAGAGAATATTGTCTTCTCTTTAGGAATGCATCCAAAACTGTTGAATGCATATATTTGCACCGGGTCCCCTGGCGATGCTGGCGGTGGAGGCAGGAGCTTGTTCAGCTAAAACCAACTCCTTCAGCTCAGATGACTGTTTTCAGGAACAGGTATGTCTATACATGTGAGCCCGATTCAAAGCGGCCATGTCTGCCGGGCATGAACAGGCAGCCTCATGCTTCAGGAGCAGGGTGGGGGGTGGGGGGGTGGGGGGGGGGGGGGCTCCAAGTGGCAGGAGAGGGAGGGGGAGGAGAGCAGCAGTGGAGAGTACACAGGGAGGGGACTATTTGAGGAAATAAGGGAGGCCTGATGGTGGAATGAAAGACTTCCATTCATCTAAGCTTCATCCTTTTGGTGGTCGCTTCCAACCTGGAGCAGGTAGGCATGAATAGACGATTATGAAAAATGGAGGTCGGGTTCTAAAAAAAATGCTGGACTTTTTCAGAAGAAACTGGCAGTATTTATATTTTATAATTATAAGACATAAATTCCCTTCCTTTAGGGAAAGAGAAAATCCTAACTTTAAAAATAGAGTAATCGGAGCTGAGAAAAAGAGAGAGAGAGAGAGAGAGAGAGAGAGAGAGAGAGAGAGAGAGAGAGAGAGAGAGAGAGAGAGAGAGAGAGAGAGAGAGAGAGAGAGAGAGAGAGTATGTTCTGCAGATTTTAATTCTAACTTCTGGCCAAGATATTTATTTCCTTCCTAAACATTTCTGTACCCCAGCATGCAAAAACTCCTGTGGATCTCTGAGGAGGGCTAGGACTAAAAAAAAACAACTGATCTGTTCCAAAACCTCCAAAGAAAAGACCCTGTTAGCTGACTGGTGTCTCCTATGTTGTCCTTTGCACTGGTCTGTATGATTTGTTCTCTGGTATCAGAGATCTTTCAGGAATTAGAGCAAAATTACAAATAAAAACAAATCTGGGCATACATCAGCTTATAAAAATGTAATTTGACACAATATTCCTGGTTCTAATAGCTCATAGATTAAAAGAGGCAACATATCTTTAATGTTACTGATTGTTTATGAACGAAAATGAAGTTTCTGTGATTTGAGAGTGTGTTACAATCCAAACAACTCGGATTTGTCGGGAGGAGAATAGCAACAGAAAAACCCTGTTCTCCCTCACCAAGAGAGGAAATGTTTTCTATAACATTACAGCAGCACAAATGTTCATTCAGTTCCAACACAGCCGCTCAGAAAGCATCCTTCTTTTACAATAAAGATTAGAAATGCTACGACTCATCAGCTGTTGGTCCTTTTAGTAAAACCTTCGAACGACAGCAGGATAAACAAACCCTAAAATAGAAAGATTCACCTACACATTCACTCACAAGGTCAGAAAGTACAGCAACGTGTAATGAGTTCCTTGTCATTTTGGCTCGATTTTTCCCATAAAGTTAAGCAAACAAACCAGAAGTTGAACCTGAAAAGTTTATAATGACTTTGGTGTGAGAAAACACCACAAGAAACCCCATTTTCATCACTTTTTGAAAAAAATGAGCACAAAATATAAAAAAGTATCTGCAGTAAATGTCATTAAAGCATCCAAACAAACAGGAAACATCATTTTCTTTATAGAGAAAAAAGACTGACAGCAATCAAACTAGACTCCAGGTCAGCCGGCTGTCATACAAGCCCTCGGATGTGTGAAGAGGACCATAGATACATGTGTGAAGGTCCTTATAAAATCCAAAAAGCCTGTCTCTCCTTGCATCTGTCCTGGTTTCTATCAGCTCCACATTCCTTTTTGGCTGAATCAAAAGGGTCCAGCTGTGAGTCAATAGGTTCAAACTAAAAGCATTCAGGCCAAACATTAAATTAGATCATAAAAATGAAAAAATAAAATAAAAACCAGCAAAGGAGAATCAGTGAACGATTTCAAACTGATGTCAATCCCATAATAACCCTCATGTGGAGCGTGTTTACACAATCCAGCTTTACCTGGAAAACCTCCTTGTCCAGAATCCTGGTACCGAACACGGTGATGCCGGTGGCACTGATGGAGGCCCGCTCACTCCTCAGGAGAGGTTTGGTGATCTTCTTCTTACAGTCGACAATGATCGTGACCGTCTTCTTCTCCACGCTGATGGCCACTCGATGCCACCTGGCAAAAGTCAGCAGAGGCAGATGTTTGTATATAAAAGAAGAAGGAAACGTCAGGCAGCATCAAAGACATCAGCGGATGCTTCTGAGTGCAGATGTTACGGACATATCAGATCATCTCAGATACAAATGACTTCCCTGTTCCAATCAACTCTCTTGCCATAAATGAGGTGGAATCAGTTGTGTGGAACATGACTGCGAAGTTCACAATCCTGCTTGTTTTAGGTGTGTCCCTGCTCTAATTCACCTGATTCATTGGTTAATTGACCTGTTCAGTATGTTAACAAGCTCGGCAGGCATGTTTAGAACAGACTTCCAAATCATGAAAAACAGTGTCAGGACCAGGACTGGACATCATTGATAAAAACTGAAAAACATCAGGCAACAATCATAAAGATAAATGGAAAATGCCCATGAAAACAGGTCACTTCACCAACATGGGATTTTCTGTCATCTTTAATTTTCTATACAAGTCTACAAACTTCTGAGTTTGGCCCAAATGGTCAAACGTCTACGTTGCAACAGGATTCTGTTTGTGTGTTTCAGTTATTAAAAGATTAGAAACAGGATTTGGCACAACGTGCTACAGTTTCCTGCTGCAACACTGAAAGGTCCACTAATTCTGCAGTTTAGGCCTGGTTCAAGATTTTAAAATTATATAAAGATTTGTAAAACATGAGACCACACATGTGGATAAAAAAAACATGGATATGTTTTGTGAGACTGCGATGGACTGGCTCTTTGTCCAGGGTGTACCCCGCCTGATTGTCCATTGACCGCTGGAGATAGGCACCAGCCCCCCCGCAACCCTCCGTGGACGAAGCAAGTTCAGACAATGGATGGATGGATGTTATGTGAGACCAAAGACAACAAACCACATACAAACCCATTTCACTCACGTACATTTCCAGGTCGGATGGGAAATCTCACAAAATCTCAACATCAAACAACAGAGTAAATGAAACATGGTGGACGAGGAGTAGGATTTGGATTTACCGTACTTCCATTACCTCCCTTTCTGATTAGCCACATGTCACATTAAACAGACTGTACGCTTGTTTGTTCCAATGGCACAACCTAAAGGCTGTAATATCGGTCCAAGACAACCAAACATGTTGAATGTCTCAGATTTTTCTATCAGAGTGCCATTAACACACCACACACGGTAGGAATATCTGATAAGATTGTCTTTAGAGTAGCAAAGTGCATTATTATGCTTATCAGAAGGAGGTATTATAAAATGGTGTGAACCAGGCTTAAGCAAACCACACTTTTCTCTGTTGGGGCAACTTTGAAAACAAAGAGGATCTGTGGCAAAATGTTTAACTATTTATCATTAATTGTTGGACTACATCAAGTGAAAATTGTGTGCAGCAATTTTTAGATTGGTTGACGATCATGTTGCAAACAAAATGAAGGTAAAAGGATAAATAATTTAATTATAGTTGAGATACTTTGTGATTAAAGCCTGGTTCAAATGGCAGAATTTTTAAATAGAAGAAAATAAACTATTTTTATTCAGCGCCTCTCAAGATAAAAAATCACAAGGTGCTTCACAAGAGCAAAAAATATGTGTGATTAAAAATATATTGTAATGAAAAGGGGGAAAATGAAAAAAAAAGAAAAATCAAAGGTAATCATGGGATCCAGAGAAAGGCTTGGACAAAAAATATCATAAGATAGAATGTAACTTTGAAGTAAACAAACATGGCGGTGGAGGAGCATGTTGCACGATTCCAACACCTCACTTTCTGATTGGCTAGATGCCACATTCAACAGACAGCACGAAAATCAGACCGAGGCAATCCAACATGTTTGAAAGCCCAGATTTATTATCAGAGCAGTCCTACGGACCTTCCGAGCAAACCAGACAGCTAACACAGCACAGATGGTAGGATTATCTTCAGAGCCGTTATAGTAATTGTGGAGCCAGGCTTATAGTGCAACAATGGAATCTGCAAATGCAACAATTGCATGGATGTTCCAATTAATTTACAGTTGTTTAATTTGCATCAGAGATCACGTTTAAAACATCTCTTAAATGTGTCACATCGAGTTCAGTGAAAACTTCTCGCAATCTTGTGTCTCCACCAAATCATCGACAGTTGCAGCCCAATGACTACTGATTTATGGAGAAACAGTTTTAACTCCTTGGCTAATGTTAGGAGTAAAACTGAATCACTGATCATGGGGAAAAGCTTGAACTGGGATGAAAGCTAAACTCAGCGGTGGCTCAGTGGATTCTGAATGATGGCAGCAAATTCTAAACACCAATATTTGTCTGAGAGCTGAATCCAAACAGAAAATGAGCCATGCACGGAGATGACTTGCAGTTTTATGACTCACGCGGTTTAAGGGAAGAATAAAGTTGATGTTTTGGAACACCCAAGTCAAAGTCCTGACCTTAGTTGAACTGTTGTGGCAGGAATGAAAGTGAGCATCTTGTGAGAAGAAACAAATCTGTTCTGTCCTGAAGAATAAACTAAAATCCCTTTAATGCAGGAAAATGTTGGGTTTTCCTGAACGCCCACAGAATATTTGATAACACGTAGACCCTTTAGGCTTCAGGGCTAACTAGGGTCACACGTGAGTCCGACACCGCCCCTTCCCATTGGACCATTTGCACTTAAGAGCTATTGCATACCAGGCAGCAGCGGACCACATTCTTGCCCCCACACTTTGGCCCTGTTTAACACAGGATTACACTCATTAAACTCCAAACTTAATCCTCCTTCTGGGTAACTCTGCATGACAGACGTGGTGAACATTGTGGAAAGTGTGTGTCAAGATCCAGGAGTGCCTGCTTGGACAGGGCAGGAGACACACAGTCAAGACACCGTTCTGAGGTGCAAGAGGAGACCTGGCAATACCACAACTACATATACTTCTGATTTCTTATCAAATGATCAGATGTTGCTGTCCAAATCAGAAAAGAGAACTAATTAATCCTGGAAATGATGATTACAAGGTGCATAAAAACCAGAACACTTCAAATCTCATCTACATCATCCTTGTTCTTCTGGGAGTTTTCCCCTCTCAGCTGTAAATAATCCATCCACACAGCCTGAGGATTCAGTCGTGGAATTCATCCAGACCAGGAATTAACACAATCCTTCACCGAAAGCACCACTTCATGGACAGTAGTCCATAAAAAGGGCCCCAATAAACAAAACAGCTTAGAAACCTGTCACAACATACAGCTCAGAGTCTCTTTTTTTTCTTTGAGGAGTTGTTGTTTTCCTTTTAAAGGATTTACCTGTGGTTTTACAGAGTACTAAGTAAAGCTGACCTCTGACTGAACCACTGAGAATATTTGAAATGATCATGTAACAGATGCTTTCTCAGAATTTGTTGACTGGTTTTACTCTGCTCCTTCGTGAGGGTTGATTCGGCTGAACTCTGGGATTCTGAGCAGAGAAGAAGATAATCAGGTTTATGCCGAAAGGTTAGCAGCACTGTTTCTGGTTGGATATGGCAACCCAACAGGCCGGAAAGGAAAGGTAGGGTTGCCTCAGTCCCCTCCTTCCTTTTCCCTCCTCTAAAATAACAGAGGCAGTGAGTTCATGGAGGAGGTCAGGTTGCCCACAACAGCCCTGCTGTGCCTCAATAATCCACCGTCTCTCTGGCTCTGACCCGTCTGTGCCCAAAGACCCCCGATGGGACTGCTAATCCAAGAACGGGCACCTGTAGCGCAACAAGGGGAAGATCTGAATTGTTTTCTTGTTTTATTCAGTAGAAAAGTTGTGTTTTAGTTCAACTGTTTTCTCCAGCAATAAATGTTTTTAAAATTCTAACCAGTGAAATAAATGAAAGCAGCAACTTTAAAACATCTGTGAACCATCAGAAGTTACAACCACGCTCCATCAGCTGTAAAAACAGCAGAACACTAATGTTTTGTTAGGATTTGAAGACCAAAACCTCGGTGTCTTTACTCTAGGTTATAAAATCAGATACAGCTGGGAGGCTTTGAGTGTGTTTCCGATTTTGACTACATGTCTGAGATCTGACATACTTTCCATCAGCGAGGTTCAGAGCCCGAAACAGGGGGTAGTCCTCGGGGGCGGGGTTCCCCGTCTGATCCTCGTACAAGAAAACAGGTGAGCGTCCCACCTCCACGCCCAGCTGCTGGACTCCCTGCTCGTTGTAAATGGACAGCAAAAAGGACTGGAGGCCGGATTTTGGTCGCACTGTGGTCAGGATGGAGAAGTCCTCAGGGAAAACACCACCTGTGAAGCATTTTAAACCAAAGAGGTCAACACTTGCAACATGTTACAAAATGATCAGAGATTTTATAAAAGTATAATTTTAAAGGAAATGAATAATTTAGTGAACTAAGTCAAACAGAAACCATCATTTAGTGAAGTCTGGGCTTTGATCTCACCAGGGATCAGCTGAGTGGTGGGGGCACTGATCTGGATCTGCTTGGAAACTCTGTAAGCTGTGTCGGGCTCCGATGCTCTTCGGTTTGTACAAAATCCCGATGTTCTCGTCACTCCTTCAGGGTAATTTTGAAATGCTAATACTTTTAGGACATCCACTGGTTCTGCTGTTTGAAGAGACAAAAAACAAAGTTAGTTCTGTTTTAGGAGACCTTTTAATGAGATAGTTAGCTTGACCATCACATAGAAAATAAACACAACAGTTTTATGACACCAAAAACACATATAAACAATTATTAATACATAAATTAATGCACACACATCAGTTGAATTAACTTTGTTACTGTGTGCACAGTTTGCATACATCTTATTATTATTATTAAAATATCTTCTGCAGAGGTACATTTATATTACATTCAGATTGCAGACAAGGATGTTTACTGACATTCTATGAGCTGAATATAAAATTTTTTTTACAAAAGCCTCCTTCTGTGTGAAGACCAAGCCCCCACAATGCGGCTCAAAAATTGAGGCCAACTGGAAGTACCAAAAATTGCAGTTCCACCCTCATCCACTAGGGGCTGGTGTCAGAAGCGAGCAAATCCTCATTGACTCCCATGTTAAAAATACCATTTTCACAGCAGAAATAAACATGCTTACAGCCTGGTACCAAAACATGTTTTTGGTTTAAATTATCTAGTTTACACTCATGACAACTCTGAGGGGGGTGAATTTTTTTCTCACTCTTCTGTTTAAGTGTATTAAAAGCCTAAAATTCTGTATAATTAATTAGCATCCGACCCACGTGACCACAGAGCTAGCTCAGTGGAAAGGCCTCAGTCTGGCCTGGAAACTGTTCTGGGATTTTGAGTCTCTGTGTTTGTGTATTCTTTTTTGGATATTTTTTGTGCAATTGTTGGACAAAATGACTTGCTGTTGCATTAATTGCACTAATAGAGCGTCCAAGCTTCTCCACTTGATTTTTTTCCGTAAGTAAAATTACATTTATGTATTTTAGGTCACTACCGAGCTGAGCTTAGATTTTAACATGTACTGTTTAACCATGAAATTTAAATGTAATAGGGTAAACCCAGTGCATTTAACATAATGCTGCACTTTAGAAAATGGGTTAAAATATAACATGTTGGTGGAGCTGGGTTCCGACTATCGGCTTGTGGAGCTCTCGGGAGACCTCTGTTTTCCACCCGTTTCTCCCCTCCCCGCAGCTCGGCGCATCTCTGTCTGATCGCGGCTTCTGTCTGCTGCGCGGGCTGCCGGCTTTCAACAGCTATCGGGAGACCTTGGTGTTCGACCCGGTTTTACCCAGCGGTCAGCCCAGCGTATCTCTGACTCAGAAGCTCTGGTGTTGTGCACAATTAACTCCGGTTGTAGCTAGGTTGCTACCTCCGTTAGCTTAGCTCCCACCTCCGTGTTAGCTTTGGGTTAGCTTCAGGTTAGCTTGTAGCTAGTTCGACCGGGTGTCGTCAGTTGATCCCAGCCTTACAGCCACACCCTCAGCTCCACCTCTCTTCCCTTTTGTGGGATTGTCTGGGCTTCACGGAACCTGTGACACGGTCAAAATGGCGGTGGTGGCCACCTCCCATTTAGCCTCAAAAATGTGTTATTGGAGCCTATGGAAATGAATTGTCCAGTATATATGTCGATGGTGAGGACCGACATGATGCAGCTACACTCTTACGCCAAAATCCCCAGTGTTCCACAGATGCACCAATCTCTGCATGTCATGCAGGCAAACATTTCTAGGAGCTCATGGTGAATCTACATGCTACAGTTCATGCTATGCTAAAACAATGCTGATCTAGGCATGAAGTCATTGAGCCTTCAAAATCTCAACAATCAAGAAAAATAGGTGCACTAATGGACTCTGCATCAAGAATGTGTTCCACCATGCTTCTCCCCGGATCTAAAGATGAACCACAATGAAATCACTACCAGAGTTTGGTTTGTGCCCATAACCAGTGTGGAACTAAGTATTACACTCTACAGGTGAAACTTGGAAATATTAGATTATCATGCAAAATTCCATTCATTTCAGTAGTTCAACTTAGACTGAGACACCATCTAAGGCTCAGGAACCCTTTGCAGGTATTTTAGATTAATTAGCTGATTAGAGAGAGACTCTTTGAACCTAGATTATTGAACTTTTTCACAATATTCTTATTTTCTGAGATTTTGAATTTGGAGTTTTCATAAGCAGGGCTGCACAGTGGTGCAATGGTTAGCACTGTTGCCTTGCAGCAAGAAGGTTCTGGGTTCAAATCCCAGTTCCTGGGTTCAAACTCCACCCTTGGGTATTTCTGCTTGGAGTTTGGTATTTTCTCCTGCAACACATTCTCACTCCCAATGCATCAAAAACAAACACTTGGTCAGCCACCCTCCGCGTCCAGACCCCATATGCCAAGTGTCCCTTTTCGTTGCCTATCCTAACATTAACCCTCTTGCTAGCTAAAATGTTACCCTTACAGTGACAAAGCATTTGCTTCCACAGAAAATTAGTTGGGTTAGGACCGAGGCAACGATGACTTTGAAACATATCATCTAGCAAGGGGGAGGTTATAACTACCAAGGGGGAGGTTAGACGTAGAGGGTAGTTGTAACCTACCCCTAGCCAGATGGTATGTTCTAATGTTCCCCTCGCCTGGGCGGCAAACCAGAAAATTCACAGTCAGAACGCGTGGGAAACAAACGCTTGGTCACTGTGAGGGTTACGTTTTATGTAGCAAGAGGGTTACGATTAGGATGGGGGTGAGGGGAAGGTTATAAACAGCAAAATGTTATGGTTCGGGTGCGGTTAAATGAGCTGGTTTGGTGCCGCAGCAGCGGACATCCCATCTCGTTAGCTTTACGCTGCATTAGGATCTGCAGTCAGAAACGGGAAAAAACCCTTTTCGTACACAAGTGACAAAAAGGAGCACTTTTGGTGTTTGGGGATGTAATGCAGTGGGTGGCTGACCAAGCATTTGTTTTCGACGCGTTGGAAGTGAGAATGTGTTGCCTCCTTTTGTATGCGTGGGTTCTCTCTGGGTACTTCCAGTTTGACCATGAACCATTGAAATAGCTCTCATATGGGCAAAATCAACAGTTGTCCATCAAAGTGTCTGAACTTAACTGGACAGCACTAAGACCAATCAGCGCAACAGATACTGTAGCGTATTATTTGCGTTGGAAAACAATCAACGTTTAGCTATCACTGCAGCCAACTGGTAGGTTAAACTTTCCCCATTGCCAAAACAGCAAATACATCTTCTTTTTAAATAAAGGATTAAGTTCATCTGTCTGTTCATGCCTCAAAGAAAAGCCCAAGTCTAAATAATCCAAAATTAATGGCAGTTCTATGCTTAAATTGTAATCTATAATCATCGCAATTATAACAAACAATGGATTGAAATATCTGGCTTTGCATGTAATGAGTCTATCTCATATATTAGTTTCACCTTTTAAGTTGAATCGCTGACATAAATTAACTTTTGCACCATATTCAAATGTTTCTAATTTCGTCTGTATCACTAGATTCTAATGTACAGCTCAAGACCTTGCCAAGACCCTGTCTGATAGTATACAGCACAGCAAGATCCGATCCTGTGTGAGTCAGATCTCTCCAGGCAGCACTCTGTAAACTTGTCACACATCTAAAGAGTTGGGAATATTTGGTTCAGGCTCACCTGGCAGCAAATATCTACATACTGAGCCCAAAATGAACAATGTGCCAGCAGAGTTCAAGTTCTATCCCATCTGGATTGGGTTACCTTGATAAGGCTTTTCAATTTGGTGCTCTGAAAATAAAGGAGCCAGTGTAAGTGCCCATAGAGACCCCTGGGAAAGCGTTATAAGTATGCCCCCCTGTCAAAGCACCTTCTCAGTATAAAACACAACATCAGCTTTGGGGAGAATCTAAAGTGTTGACCGGGAATCATTAGTGCCTGGGCGATGTTAGCAAGACAAAAACAGTGAAAAAACAAACCATAAAGACTTTATTATTAAAAGTGCAGCCCAAAGGGCTTGGGGCGATGTACAAACCACTCAGTACAAAACAGTCTGGGATTAAAACTTAAGCTTCTGTATTTTAAAGACCAAGGGCAGTGTTTAATTAATTTTTAAACACATTTTCAGTGCTCTCTAATATAAATGAATGCCTTGTGAAGTTAGTGATCTGAGGTGAGCTACAGATGGCAACATTTCCTGATATTCAGACATCTCTCTTCTGATTGGCTAACAGTAATGCAACTCTACCACCAGCTTAGTTTGCCTTGCAACATTGAAGTGTGATTTCTACAAATAACACAAGCCTGAATGAGTTCTGCCATGTTGTGGAGATGCTAATGCTTACAGTTAGCTTACTAGCCAAGACATGCTCTGCTCTCTCCTGCATGCTAAATCAGCAACAGTCTTCTGCATAGCGATCCAAGATGGGTGAGTCCTTGAATGTTAATTTACAGTGTAACATAGATCTGACTGGGTTTTCTAATCTGAGGATTTTTTTCAACTAGTACTACTACATTTCAGTTCAATTTTTAGTTCTTAGTAGTAGAAGCTTTGTTTTTACCTTTTGGGTTGACATTTTTGCTTTTACTACTCTGTGTATAAGAAGTAGAAAACAGAATTGGAAAAGCAATACAGAACGAACTTAACAGAGATGCTACATTTCATTCTTGCTAGGGAATTTTATGCATGTATTCTATGTAAATAAACATATAGTCTCTGATCAATGGCTTGTGCAGGAGCTAGTGTGAAATTTGGAAGTTTTAAAAGTGTGGAACACTGAAAAAACATTTCATATTTATTGTTTCTGATTATAATCGGACACAGTGAGTTTTTCATGCAGGCTGAACATGAAAATAGTCTCCTACACCTATCTCCTGAATTGGCTTCTGATTGAAAATAGACGGTGAAACTCTAGGATTTGAAAATCCTGACAGATCTACGTACAGTACGTCACACTGTCATTTAACATTCATGGACTAACTCATCTTGACTCACAACAGTGAAGGCTGTTGTGGTTTAGCATCCAGGAAACGTCTCGACTAGTAGAAGCTAATCACTAGCAACTCCAGCAGAAGTCCTTCAGGCTTGTGTTGTTTGTGGAGATAAAACACCAACGTTGCAAAACACAGTCAGTGAAAGAATTGCATTGCTGTTAGCCAATCAGAGGCGAGGTGTCCCAATTTCAGGAAATAAGACTCCAAATCCTGTCAAATCCTGGCTACTTTTCCCTCCAGCTGAATTGAACTTCCTGATTCAGGTGCATCAGAGCTTTTTTCCTCCTCAGAGTACGACTTACAAGGCATTCACTCCTACTAGGGACCACTGCAAATGCATTGATTAAATGAGTGGAACACACCTTTAACCCTCCCACTGTCTTTATGGGTGACTCCACGAGGAAAGTTGACCATTGAGCAGGATTGATGTTTATCCCTTGAGGTCCACGTGGCAGGGGTGAGGTGGTGCTCACTCCTCACCCCTGCCACGTGGATCCAAGCGATAAACCATCAACCCTGCTCAATGGTCATCTTTCCTCACAGGGTCACACCCATTAGGACAGTGGGAGGGTTAAGGTGGTAAACACACACTTTGGTCCTAGAGGTGTTTAGACTAGCTGTTAGCAGTATATAACCCTAATTCATGAAGCTCTCAATCAAAAGAAAGAAAGTACTTTTTCTTTTTTTTAACTTTTTCCACAGAAACCTTTAAAATGATGTAGATACGCATTTAAAACTCATGAGAAACCTGATCCCAAACCTAACCATTAGGTCTTTTTACAAGTCAAACATCGTACAAGAGTGTGGATCTCTACTATGATCAGAGGGGATCTGAGATAATGAAATTAATGTGTTTTTGAGGAAAGACATTAATGCCAGTGTCAGTAAACTCAGAAACTTTGTCCAACAAGCTGATATGTGAGACACATCTCTCTCTCTCTCTCTTTCTCTCTCTCTCTCTTTCTCTCTCTCTCCATTAGTATCTAGTAGAATTAAACAGTGTACTTTGTGTTGCTTTAAGGACTAATTACATATTTTCATGCTGAATTTAGAGATGACACACTTATGTAGACAGTATGAGTAGGGATGGCTCAGTAAACATTATTTAAACAGAACCTTCTTACAATCCAATAAATTATATATTTTTATGTGACTTTACTGATTCTTTACCAAATGGCTAGCTGCCAGCCATGGTGCAGGACACAAGAACGGATTAGTCTCAGTTTCAGTCCATCTCTACAAACCATTTCACAATCACCATCAATCCGTGGTCCCTCAAAAGCATTGATGTCCTTCTGTGATGCGTATCAAGCTGATGGAGTGGGGTGAGCAGAAAAATCTCAAAGTACAAACAAAATCAACTATTTCTTTGTAAGAACACCACAGTGTTTTTGGACCTGTGTGTCCCAGATGTGACCGGGATGGGAACTTCACACAGAGGTGATGAGAAAATGTCAACACTGGTCGGCCCGTTAAGGTGGTCCAATGAGTGTGTGCAGAGTTTAAAAGCCTGCTGATGAGTTTGGTGTTGGGTGGTGAGCAAACACTCAGATTGGATCCATCTTTCATCATTATTTCCTTAAAACATTCACAGGCATCACATCGCCTCTTGTGTTTATGGTTGTACTGTAATCCATATTCTGAGAGTTAAAGTAACCCTTTTTTTCTGGGCTGAAGCCAAATCCCGACCCTGAGCTGCTCCTGTGTCATATCCACATTCCTTAATCCCACTAATGTCTTCACAAGGTAAATAGCTGGTAAATAAAGGAGGAACCTTTTCCCCTGCAGCTCCCTGAGACTCAACACCTAGAGTCAGTGTGTGCCCCCTCTCCCCAACGCTCCCTCTGTGCTTCCTCCAGCTCCCATCATGCTGCCGGCTAAAACAAGATGGCTTTATCCTGGTGTCAGACCAAGGAAACTTCAACAGGACCTACCCAGGTTTTCAAAGCATTCCTTTCCTCTACACTCCTCAAATGTGACTTTTCCTACAAACGTATTTAACGCTTGCTTTCATGGTGAAAACAGGACCATGTGCTCTTCAACAACACGTAAACCTGCTCTCTAACTTCAAACAGGTATTAAAATAAACCATCCTTGTTTCTGAAAAGACTATGTTGTAATCGCTGCTTTGGAGTTTCAGCAAACTTCATTTTATTCAAGCCGAATTTCCAAGTCAAACAAATGAAGCAGAGGATTCTGAAATGCTAGCTTTGTCTGTTGGAATGCACATCTGAGCCTGCGCCCCAGGGGCTGAGAAAACGTGTCTGTAGATGGAGAAGGCACCCTGCAGAAACAGCTCTGATGACTAGAAAGGGCAGGAGGAGCTGACTGTGAGCCTGCAGCTGAATACCTCAAGAGGCAGGAATTGGAGAGTTTTTTTTTCTCTCTCATCAGAACATGCTCCTCCAGTAATCAGCCAGCAGAACTGTAGGACTATTTGTAAGCAACATGCTCAAGGTGAGGAGGAATTTAGTCCGCCATTTTTGTTCAAACTGCATAAACCCCATTGTTATTACTCGCACACTGTCATGGAGACTACCAGTATCTAGAATTAAAGTCTAAATCCTCAGAGTTAGTTTATAAGCCAACGTGTGAGGCCTCAGTAATCCCGAACCCTGAGATGAGTAGCTATTAAGGCTGTGAGCCGGGCCGATATGCAGGCCTGCTCTTTGAAGGCTCTGAAATCATAGGGAAGGGCAACAAGGACCATCATCAAATAAGTGCTCAGTACTTACTGAGGAAGCATTCCCACCAATCACACAACTCAGCCTTGTCCTGCAGCCGACCAAACATCTAAGTGCAAACTTAGCAGCTTGGGGGTGGTGAGGTGTGTGTGTGTGTGTGTGGGGGGGGGGGGGGGGGGGGGGGGGGGATTGGGCTTTAGTGTGGACCAGGACAGTCTGGAGATAGGGTCAACCTGCTTGACCACTTCTGTCAAAGTCAGCTTCAATCTAGTTAATCTAATCTCAGATTGGGTCCACCATAACTTTAAATTAATCCCACACCCAGCAGAGCATGTCCTCTCCAGGGAATGGGACAGTGTCCACTCTGGAGCATGTTCAATATGAAATTTTATTTTTCACCGCATAAAAGATAAACATGAATCCAGCCTGACCCAATAAACCAAAGATATGATGTTAAAGTGACTGGAGTAAATTGTTCTGTGTCAGCAGCAGCAGAATCCACCCTGCTCCACCTGGAGGACCACAGACCCAAACAAAGAGGTCCCTATGAGCCCGAGAGGATCTTACAATCCAGGGAATGTTGCCCTGTTCCCTGTATTTTTTTTCTTCCCAAGCACATACCAGCAGTTTAGGATCAGTTTAATTAAGCAAAGTGATATTTATCTTTTGGGGCCGTCCGTTCATGCGTAAAAACACCACTGCAGAAATCTGAAAAGCCTTTTAAAAGTTGTAATATTTTGTTTGGCGCATTTAATGCTGCTGTGGATGTGGCAGCACGCAGACAGGTGAGTCTGCTCCATCTGGTCCCACAAGGTTCGTTGCTTTGGTTCCTGAACATCTTACCTGCTCTGACATCAGCAGCCTGCAGAACCAGGGTTAAAGTGATGAAAGCTGTTACTGTGGAATCCATAAACCATCTTTTCGTTTTCCACCTTGTGGACCACCTCTGCATCTCCATGATTCGCCCACAAATTCACCTTCTGGGCGACTTCAAGTGATTTATCTTAAATTCACTTCCTCTCCACGATCCCGAAAGAAAAAAAAAGTAAATGTTCCTATGAAAGAGCCATATGTGGGGAGTTTCAGCCTCTTCTCTCAGCCTCAAACAGGGTCCGGTCCTCCTTCCCAGCGCCCAGCCTTCACAGTAAAAGGCTCTAACCAAAACGCGCTCAAGCGCAGCCTCTACACTCGGTGCGTGCCCGGACAGGAGGGCTGGGTAAGCTCCGCAAACCTGAGCCACGATTACAGGAGAGTGACACGGGAACCGGCCCCCGGTTAGCAAATCATTGGGCTGGAAGTTCTCCCAAGGGTCCTCCCATTGGCTCGGTAACGCGCCCCCAGCAGTCAACTCTCAGTGCGTCTCGGGATCCAGCAGAAGTGCGCCATGATAGAGGAAACAGCTAGTTAACAAGAGTTAAATTAATTATCAAAACTTTGGAACACCAAGATCTACTCAGAAGGAGGATACGTTTCAGTGTAGAAATAAAAAAAATAAAATAAAAATTCTCTGAAATCAGTAACAGGTCAACTGGGGAAATTGTTGAACTTCAGGAGACAAACGTTTTCTAAAGAAGGTAATATGGGGTTTCAACACTAAACTAATGCATTAACTGATGTATTCGACCATGTTTGTCTTTAAATGTAATTAAAAACAAGCCAATCAAATCCAAATATGTAAAGTTACATCTGAAAGTCTAAATCTAGAAAGAAATATATCACAAAGGGGTTTCACTAACAAATCAGACCCAACATAAAGGTGAGTATTTAACCAGGGATTGTTTATATGTGCTGATAGAGCCTTAACTTTAAAGTGGAGAAGGAATCCACAGCTGAAACGACTCCATCAAATGAACTCCCTGGTGTTAGACAGGGGACCTCTTCACCCTGCTTTGGTACAACACCAGTCTGAATTAGCAAAAAACTACTTTAAAAGTTTCACATCCCATTTTACTTCATGGTAAATTAAATCTAGCTATATTCAGCTATTCATTTTGAGTCTAACATTAATAGAAATCCATCCGTGTGTATGGTCACATATTGTGACGGATGTTTTCTGAACCTTTTTGTGTGACTCGGTCCATATTATGAGATACAAATTCAGGATGTACATCTTTCCAGCTTTCTAGAATTTCATTGGAGTGTTATCTCAAAGTTATTTTGTGAATGAGATCTCTTGGCTCTCTTCTGAGGAGGAAGAGATGCTGACCAAGCTCTCTCCATCTGGCAGCTCATCCTTCCTGGCCAGCCAGACTCGACCCACTTTCAGCCAAAGTAGTATCAGATGCTGCTCCTCGGTGCCCAGTGGCAGAGGGCATGCGTTATCTGTCTGGAGAGGATTTATTTATGGACAGAAAGGGTTTCATGCTGCATCTTATCCTTCTGGTTCATTAAACAAGGGCAGAAATTTAAAAAGATGACAGCAGTGGCTTCTTAGCGCAATTCAAAATAACCACATAGAAATGAAAAATAAAATGTAACAAAAGTAGAAAAAAATCAGATGGGTTTTAGGAAGTTTAAAGCTTCGAAATGTATCTTTCATTTTAGGGATGGGCAATATATCTGCATCAATGTCGGTATCGGCCGATGTATCAGTTCGATAAATAAAACCGGACCAATTTTAACAAACTATATTTTTTCCATCTCGTCTCCGTTTGCTTGCCTGTTTCAGACGATGGAGGGTGATGTGTAATGGTTTAGTCATGTGACAGTGGATGAAAACATTCCAGAACTGTAAATGTGTGTGTTGTGTGAACAAAATAATGTATATTCAGTTTTAATAATTTTCATTCTGTACAAAATCTGCTAAATTTAGAAGCATTAATGGGCTCGGCTGGCTAGGGGATGGGAGGCTGCAGGCGAGCCTGTGGGCTTGCTGCTGATATCTCCCGGGACTCTGCCGGCTGCTGGTTGTGGCCCCCCGGGGCAATCCTATGCGCCTCTTGAGGGGGGCAAGGGCTTTTCTGGTTGCAGTCTCCCTGGGGTCCCTGCGCTCTGGGGCAGCTCCTGGATCTCTGGTACTTGGAGCTCCCTCCATCTCCTACGAATCTTTGGGGGCAGATCTGTGGCCCCTCACACACACTATTGGGTGCTCCTATAGAGAAACCTTACATACACAAGCGCGTGTACACACACAGGTGCTTACATGGTGCTCTCATAAGCATGGACTTGGGCATTTTCAACACATGTCTTAAGGCTGTGGCTGGCACTAAATGAACTGTGATTTATTATCGTGATTGTTCAGTAAAACAATGTTGGTTTTATATTTCCTCATCAGGTTGATGCAGTGATAGCTTGCTCATGTTGTATTGTTGTGTGCCCCTTTTCTGCAGGTCTAGAAGCAGAGCCCCTGTTTATCATTGATGGTTTATTTTTGTGGAACCCTGTTTGCTTCACAGCCGGACAGGACACGGAAAAAAAAGAAGCATTAATGTCAGTATATCAGTTATCGGCCATAACACTGATCTTAATATCGGTATCGGCCCAAAAATGTCATATAGGTGCATCACAATTTCATTAATAACCCAACAGAAAGATTCAAGGCTCACATCTGCAGGTCACTGGCTTGTGCAGATGGAGTCAGTAGGTATCTCAACCAGTGCTTAAGAATATTAGCTTAGAGATGCTGAACTTAGAAAGATTAGAAAGTGGGGGTGTCCATGTTGTGCCTAGGTGATGGAGACCCATTCAAGGTGTCCCTCACTTGTTCAGGGTTAATAAATAAATACATGATATTTTGGGCTTGTAATGGTTAGAAAAGCATTCACATCTGAAGAGTAATGTTTTCTGGTATTTATGGGGGCATAAGCATAACCATTAAAACAGAAGCAGGAAAACTGTAATTTAAAGAAAAGCTTTCACATAATAATGTAAGTTAATGATCAGTGTTTTATAGTAAAATAGATAAACTAACAACTGCTTGTTTTTGCACTGAAACACAAGTGACTCAAAATTTTAATAGCATATTACATTATACCCCCAAAAATATTAAATTAAATTTTGTTACAAAGTGAAAAAAATCCAGCAGTTTTCACAAGTAAACCTTACTGCCTGTCACTGTTTACAGACGGAGTATAAAGAGCTCTTTCTCTACACTCAGTGGTTCTTCTTCTTCAGGAAAAAAAAACACCTTTCACTTCTCTTGGATTATTTTTGGTCGTAGGAACACAGTTTCCATGATCTTGTATAAACTCACTTTTATAGCTTTTAGTTTAGCTAGTTTAAATCAGGTTTTTCTATTTGTTGGACATATATTCTCTTAAAGAACAAAAAACATTATTTTTAACCATCATGTAAAATACTCTGCAACTTTTTCATATTTTAATTTTTTTTTTTGAGCCAGTATGGACTAAAATGACCCTTTAAAGGGTTAATGAAAGGCCACTCAGACCCCCACCAATTTGCAACTTCAGAGCGCTGGTCCGGTCTGCTGGATTTATAAAAAAATGGAGATGACTTAGCTGGCACTGAAGTCTGCTTCCAGCACGTTTCTGTCATGAGCCGGGGTGAGTACTCTTCACGCTATTCACCATCTCTGAGTGTTCTGATTGCAGGAGAGGGAGCGACAGCTGAACCACATCAGCGTTATCAGCGGGTCGGCTTTAAAAGGAGGATTGTGATCATGATCTGATGCTGGATGATTACTACTGACTGGTAGTCTCTTGCCATTTGTGTTCGCTAGTCACTCAATTCCTTTTTGTGCATGTTTTTTTGGAAGACTCGTTTTTAATGTGGATATCTTGTTCTAGATACTTACCTCAGGTTGCTTCATCTCTGGATCCTCTGCTGTTCTCTGGAAGAACATCTCTCCGGTTCGTTTCCTGGATCACCATTCATTCAGCCGTCCCGCTCTCAATCACGCTCACGCTCCCTCTCCGGATCAACCTCCTCATCTCCTCTCGTCATTACTCATCCTCCTGGACCGTAATCATTTCTCTGGATATCACCTAGGCTCACTCCCCCTCCATTTCCCTCCTGAACTTCCGCATCATAAGTCCATCTCCAAACAATCCCCCTCAGAACTACAATTCCTAATACTCACCTCTGTTTTCCCCTAGACGCCGCTTCCTGTTTGCTTCCTCATCCACTGGACCTCCAGTGCGCCCTTAGTTTCTCCTGTTTAAAATAAATATTATTATTTTTTCCTTTATCCACGTCTCTGTCTCTGATTCTGCATGTCTTGGGTTAGACATCTACCTCAGAACATGACAGTTTCCTGCATGTTTTTAGATCATGATCACATCAGATTTGTTTAATTTAGTGATTAACTGCTCCTGTAGACACTAACGAAGGTTGGGGAGGCATTTCAGATAGAAGTGTTGAAAAGACGAAAGCACAGTGAGGAGATAAGTTTTGGATCTACTAAACAAACACTAATGGGGTGCTAAAAGCAAGACAAAACTGCCTATAGTCTCTTTATTTGCAATTGGGAAGGAGCAGTGGGTCTACTCTGAGCTCCTCCCGGATGATTGAACTTTTCACATTACAGTGGTGTGAAAAAGTGTTTGCCCCCTTCCTGATTTCTTCTTTTGCATGTTTGTCTCACAAAATGTTTCTGATCATCAAACACATTTAACCATTAGTCAAAGATAACACAAGTAAACACAAAATGCAGTTTTGAAATGGTTTTTATTTAGGGAGAGAACAAAATCCAAACCTGCATTGCCCTGTGTGGAAAAGTAATTGCCCCCTTGTTAAAAAATAACCCAACTGTGGTATTTCACACCTGAGTTCAATTTCTGTAGCCACCCCCAAGCCTGATTACTGCCACACCTGTTTCAATCAAGAAATCACTTAAACATGAGCTGCCTGACACAGAAGTAGACCAAAAGCACCTCAAAAGCTAGACATCATGCCAAGATCCAAAGAAATTCAAAACAAATTAGAACAAAAGTGATTGAGATCCATCACTCTGGCAAAGGTTATAAAGTCATTTCTAAAGCTTTGGGACTCCAGCGAACCACAGTGAGAGCCATTATCCACAAATGGCAACAACATGGAACAGTGGTGAACCTTCCCAGGAGTGGGCAGCCGACCAAAATAACCCCAAGAGCGCAGAGACAACTCATCCGAGAGGTCACAGAAGACTCAACTTCTAAAGAACTGCAGGCCTCACTTGCCTCAATTAAGGTCAGTGTTCGCGACTCCACCATAAGAAAGAGACTGGGCAAAAATGGCCTGCATGGCAGATTTCCAATATGCAAACCACCGTTAAGCAAAAAGAACATTAGGGCTCGTCTCAATTTTGCTAAGAAACATCT